CCCCAAAACCCCAAAACCCCAAAACCCCAAAACCCCAAATTTTCTAAATAAAATAAATTAACGAAAAATGCTTGACTACAATAACGATAGTGGAAATTGGAAATATGGACAATGTATTGAGGAAATGAAATCACCTTCACCTAACAAACTGGAGCAATATGTAGAAGACTCTTTCTACGAACTTATGAAGAGCCATAAGTTTCAAAGCTCTAACTTAAAAGACAGAAGGAATGGAGCATCGAAGGTTGCTCTTAACTCGTATAACAGCAGTTCTATGTCAAGGAATTAAGGAATTTCAGACATCTAAAAAGAGTTCAATGAATCGATATATAGCCAAATCATCTAGCAACTTACCTAATCTCCCAAGGACACAGGTCAAGAGGCCGAGTGTGAGCCATGAGGTTAATAAGAATATTGACAGGAGGATTGAGAAATAAAAATCTAAGCCAAAATTTTAACAACAGAAATACAGCTATGAGTGCTTATAAACTTAGTAGCTTGATCAAGAAGTATAATCCCAGAGATTTCCAATTTGATATAGGTATGTATTAAAGCTATGGCTAAATTCTCCTTATCTGTCCAGTGCTTCACTGACATTCTTCACCAAAGAGATATGACAACCGCTTTGGCACTAATCAGTACTTCCTCTGGCTTTTTCTGGCTAGGCTAAATTTTGGTTGGGTCTCATAAGATTTTAGATAATTATAACAGAACTGAGCTCGATTTGTCAGATCTTGAGGAAAAATAGCCAAATTAAGAGTAAACGCCTTCTCTAAACTTCTAGAGGATATTGATGCTCTGAGGCTTAACGAGAGGGCAGGTAGAAGACCTCAGAATATATATGGGGCTGATCCTAGTTTCACATTTAACAAGCTATCCAATACATTTGAAAACACCTCAAGGAATTCTAAGTCAAAGTTGAGTCGAATGTCATCAAATTCTACAAAATGCTCTCTGCATTTTAAAACTGTCACTAGAGAGAAATGCAAGAAGAGGGCATATTTTGATTGGAATAACCAGCCAAGTCTGTTGATTAACCAAAATGAAATTAAAACAGACAAAGCGACTACATCTCATACAACTCTGCCGGAATCAGGAAAGACTCATAGAGGTAAGCATAACTTGTTATTGATCTCTACAGGCCCGAGAGAGGAGAGCACCAAGGATTGGTACTCAAGTAAGGACCCTCCACTTGTTTCTCATTTTGCTAACGCCACATAGACCGAGTGGAGTCATCAAAATTTGTTGTCAGCAGTTCCTCAGAGGATAAGCTCAAGACTCCATTTGAAAGAAGGCAAGAGCTTGAGCTTACAAAACAGAAAATGGGAAAGATCAAGCAAATCTCTCAGGAATTAGGCTACAATCAGAAAAAGAACCGTGTGCTGATGAATGAATACCGTTCAGGAATTCTAGGTGTTGATGACCCTATAAATGGCAAATCAGCTTTGTACAGATCTCAAAATGAGGCTCTACAACAGAGCAAGATTAGATCTCAGAATCACCTCACTCGAAGACAGAAGGTGCTTAATAAAAACTATGGAGTCTCTGAGCAAATCGAGTTCTGCGCTGGTAATATGGAGAAAAGGAAAGATAAGATGCATCATGAGATCTCACCTTTCTGGTCACGAAAGAAAAGAGTGGTACACTAATTTTTCAATAATAGCCAATACTAAAGGGGTTTTGGGGTTTTGGGGTTTTGGGGTTTTGGGG